TGTTTAGCGGCCAGATTGCCACAATAAACTAAATACCTCTCCATTGAATTATGCATGAGAAGAATGTTGAAAATATTATTTTGTTGCACATATAAGAGAAAAATAACTTTTAAAATGACATAGTTTTCTTTTTCAGTCACCATCAGAAACTGATGGAAAGTCTTGCTGGTACAACAACATTTCAAATAACTAGCTAAAAAATTCAAACGGAAAAGAGATTATGATATAAGCCCAAAATTTGAATTTATAAAAATTGTTAGCAATGGAATAGTCCTTATTTCATATTTTATTTATTTTCTCACTTTTTTTCTCCAAACTGTTTTATTGGGAGAAAATACAGGTGTCATATCAATCCGTAGTTCAAGTGCATCAGACAGTATTGTACATCTGCAACCACAAATAGCTTCAAAACATCATCTTCATTCTCAACTAGTGGCATCAGCTCCCTTTACTCCACCCCCTACTGTAGCCCCAGAAGCCCTTATTCTACTTGCTGTTTCTTTATGTTCATCAATTCTGGCTTTCATCTACACTCAAACAGAAAAGCATATCGCAGAAATTCAAGAATGCTATCTGCCAATGACAAAATACAACTGAGATAACCCCCAAGAGGAATTGGAAACTGAGGAAGCAGGCAGTCCAAGTGCAGACTGTTGCCCTTCCCCGGCTTCCATAACAGACCTAGGTGTGCTTGGGATGTGTCAATCTGGCTACTGGACTGTGAGGATCTTGCCATTTGACTGCCTTTCCCAGGATTTTCTTGATCCAAAAGCACTCTTTAGTATCTGGTGTCCTAAAACACACCCTGTGCCTTATGCTGAACACGCAAACGGATTGTCATGCATATGACATGGAATATGCCAAGCAACAACACAAGAAAACCGACTCCCTGTCTTCCAGTAGACTTCAGCTCACAGGACAATATTTTTTCTCTAACTTTGCTGTTGAGGAGGGAACACCGTTCTTCAACTGCAGCACAAAGGAGGGATGCTTGCAAATCACCATCCCTGCCCTGGCTGGAGAGTGAGACCACTGGCTGTGGGGACTGCTGCCAACTCCTGATGATGAGACGTCTGTGTCTCTTCTCTCTGTGTGCAAACTACTGTTGCATCCAAAGTCTGTGTTTAAGCGGAGCTTTTGTCAGTGACCTCAGACACTAGTTTAACAAAAACCAACAGTTATGTTGTGTGCACTGCATAAGAGGGGGAGCAATACGACTAGAAGGGAGAATAAGGTTATTTTTATAACGATACCTTGTAAATTGAAGCCAACCAGGAAAACTCTATTTAAAAGGAAAACCACTAACATATTAATAAAGATACTATAAAATATATCATAAAAGATGTCACAGAAAAAGATAATATAATTAAAATGAAAACCTTCTGTAGGAAGTTCTACGGAGACCAGGATGATGGGAAAAAAATAGAACAATTCCTGATAATAATATCAAATATGATTAAACAAAATAGAGAATACACAGAAAATAAATTAATGGAGATAAGCAACCAAAATAAGATACAAATTCAGAAAGTCGGTAACTATAAGCCAATGGCACCAAGGGAATCCCGAATCACAGTGGCCCCCTAGGACAGAGTAGAACTGCTCCTTATGGTTTCGGACACTGTGAACCTTTCGGGGGAGCAAACAGCCTCATCTTTCTCCCTTGGAGGAACCAGTGATTTCAAACTGCTTACCTTGCACTTTTCATCCCAATGTAAACTAGACAAAAAAGATAGCAAAAGGACACACTGTCCCAGGGGAGGTTGAGAGGTAAGAGAGGATGCCCTCATTCCAACAGGAAAACCTCCCTGTCATCCATCTGTGTCCGTCTAGGGCTGGTGTCTGTGCTCAGTGGGTCCTGCGCGCCCCCTGCTGCCCAGTGTCTCCCCTGCAGGGGAGGTTTGTGTGTGGGCTCACAGTGACTTCCCATCACTGTGCTCCTTGCACAGTAATACATGGCCGTGTCCTCAGGAGTCACGGAGCTCAGCTGCAGGGAGAACTGATTCTTCGATGTGTCTCTGGTGATGGAGAGTCGGCTTTGGAAGGACGGGTTATAATATGTATCACCATCATAATCTATGCATCCCATCCACTGCAGCCCCTTCCCTGAGGGCTGGCGGATCCAGTTCCAGCAGTAACCACTGCTTGTGATGGAGAAACCAGAGACAGTGCAGGTGAGGGACAACTTCTGGGAGGGCTTCACCAGTCCTGGACCTGCCTCCTGAAGCTGCACCAGGGACAGGACACCTGCAAACAAAAACAGATGGTCCCAGTCAGTCACTTGAGGTCACAACCATCTCCTCCACCCAGGGCAGATATCGGAATCTCTCACCTTGGGGAACTGTCACCAGGCACAGGAGAACACACAGCAATAGCATCTCTATATCATAGCTCTGCTTTCACAAGAGACCTACAGCCCTCTGTGAGAGAACTGATAGCTTTCCCAGCCCAAGGGTGAAATTTTACCCTAGTGCCTGAAATATAATTTGCATGAAAGGGAGCTCTGTCCTTATAAGCAGAAAGTGATAAAGACCAGACAACCCTTTTCCTCTGAGCCCATGGTAGGGTAACTCTTTGTTTGAACTCTTATCCATGTTAGTCAATAATGGAAGAAAGCTTTTCTCAAGAGGTGTGTGCGAAAGGTCAAAGAATGCCCAGAATTTCTGAGCCCAATGTTCTCTCCCTCCAGCCCCACATTGCTCCTGCCCTGCCTTGGACTCCTCTATGTCCTGGGCCCCAGAGAGTGGGCAGGATAGAGTTTGTTGAAACCATCAATTGGACCCCAAGACATCTTCAGACCTCGAAATCTCCACAGCCCATTCATTTCCCTGTATACCCTGGCACCTCTTAATTAACCTCTTAGTAGTTTTCCTTGTGTGGGAGTAGCATCTTTGAGAAGCATGAATACAAGATTAGTCCAAAGGAATTGGCATTGATAAAGTACCAAAGGTCCAACTCTTCCATGAAGCCATTCAGTTCCAATTTCCACCCACTCCGCTCTTGAGGAGATTCCCTGAAGTTTGTGGGTTCTGTGAATCAGTGAAACATCCAAAAGAAAATCATGAAATTTTGAGGAAAGGAATCACGTAGTGGTGGGTTCTGTTCATTCCAAATTCCTAAAGTTAGGAAAGAGTAAACCAGAAGCTGGATCCAAAGGACATGCTCCACTTACAGATATGCATTTCATTTATACACATATAATCTGAAGTCTGTGGCAGAATGTTTCCAGTAGGCATTGTCCTCTTACTAATCTTATTCAGCCAGGATTTTTCTGACCTGGGGCCATGGTCATCACCAACCCCGCTGCTCTTATAAGCAATACACACACTACATCCCAGAGCTTGATGACTGAGGTCGACCTCCATGTTAAGTAAAGAGATTCAAGTGTCCTAGGGTCTCAGGGAAGAGGATACAACCTAGAAATGTTGGGTCCCAGACAAGACAATATTTTAATTCAGTAGCCTCTACAAATGCAAGATTCTGAATAGAGACACCCCCCTTTATTTGCTAGAAGACCCAGAATAGTGAAAAATCAGTCATCACAATTTCAAGTACAAATGTGTAGTAAACAGTAAATGGGTTTAAGAAAAGGCTCAGAGTAAGAATGAGTCAAGTACAATATTTTAGATTTTGAACCCAAAGACATTTTCTTGAGACCCACAAGGCACTCTTCATCAAAATTAGATCCATCCATCCACTGATCCTCAACATTTAGAGAATGAGCATAGACACGCTTGTAAATGCCCCTCACCCAGGGGACTCTGGTTCAATTGACATGTGAGCATCTCCAACCAAAGACAGCCTCTCCATTTGTGCTCTGGATGCAGCCCCATCACAACTGCTCATGGATCTCACCTTAAATTTACTCCCTAAACTGAAGGGTTGTCTAATTTTGGAAAACTGTTCATATTGTTGACTATAGAAGCTGTGTCACTATCTCTGAACATGCAGTTTTAAAGCTCAAACCCCTTCAGATTATTTCATCATAACAAAGTTTAAAATATTTCCCAGGATTAAGGTTTGACAACACTCATTACTGATTAATTAGAATCTCTGTATATCTCTAAATTAATACATATTTTTACATTGGGGAAATTCATGCACTAGGTGCTGGTCACCTGAACTTCTTTTGGCCAGAATTTGCTGAAGGGACTAAGCAATTGCTTTGAAATGAAGACACATGGATTTCATTAAAATCCAGGGGTTGAAGCACAGGACACTCTAGCATTTTTCGCTTGGAGATCATTGAGTCAGTTCGCTTTTCATATGCACACTGGCAGAGCATCACTTGATCCTGTTCATTTCACCAAAACCCCATCTCACCATCTGCTCTTGGTGGTTGTCTGACCAATTTAAGCTGAGACCGTGATGGAGCTGCACACGAGTTCAGATCACTGCCATGATCTCAGGTAATTTCATAGCAGGGATTAATAGGGGTCTCCTTAAGTATCACCCTCATGGCATTGTCAATATGCAAATCACTTTCCTATCAGGTTTGGAACACATATTCTTAATGAGCTCCTGAGTGCTCCCTGCTCTCTGAAGAAGCAACACATTGAGCTCTTCTAGACTCAGATGTTCTGGGTTTGTTTTGCAGTCACCCCTCTCCTGAGGTTAGGCTTGGTAGGTCACTTAACCAAGGTGCACTGTGTCTCTCAAAATGCTGAAAGGTGGAAATAATAGTAAATATTACTCTAAGGAAAATGCAATAACATTTGCTCCAGTTGTCTATTGTTATACACTGAATATGCATACAACATTGCAGCTTAAAGTTACAAGCACGTTTTGGTTTTTATTTACTGCTTGACATCCCTTTTTGCTCTTTTGATGCACATAAATATCTGAATTTTAGAAGGCCACTCTCATCTATGTTGTCTTCTTTGTGTGTACTTCCTTTACTGTGTTTCACAGTGTGTGAACGCCCTGCAATGGGGCACTTATATGTGTCCCTGCTTCCCAATAGATGGTCTCTATAGCTCTGGGATTTACATTAGGTCCTTGATCATCTTGTGTTCGTTTTTGTACATGAGCTGAGGTTTCGGTTGTCTTTCATTCTTCTGAGGGTGGAGATCCAATTGTGCCGGCCCCATTGTTGAAGAGAATGTCGCTCTCCCATATAAAGTCCTTTGAGCCTTTGGTGAAGATCAGTTGCCTGTATGTCGATGGATTATTTATTAGTTTTCTATTCTGTTCCATTGGTCAGCAAGCCTATCATTGCACGAGTACCAGGCTATTTTGACTGCTGTGGCTGTGTAATAGTTTTGAGGTTAGTTTGTGTGAGGCCCCCTGCCTTGATCTCAAAATTTTGGGTCCCTTGATTATCCTAGGATTCTCCATATAAAGTGAGTAATTATTTTTTCCATTTCTTTTAAGGATTAAGTTGTCATTTGGATCAGGATTGGGTTGTATTTAAAGATAAGGTTGGGTACTATTGACATTTCCTTGGTATTGAGCATCCTTTTCCATGAACATGGCATATTCAGAATGTGAACAGACTTGCACTGGGAAGGATAAACTTTCCAGAATCATGCGATCTTGCTGAATAAGAGAGAGAGAAAATAGATAAAAACACAAAGAGACTTTGAACCAGTGCTGAGTCCAACCTGCACACTTCCTACTGAACATAGAGTCATATGGGAACCACATTCTGTTTCCATGTGGTTTGTTCCCTAACTTGCCTCCTGCATAATTCTAGCCTGGAACCCAATGTCATAATCAGGGGATTCTGTGGAAGCCTCTGCTCTCAGTCTGTCCTTTCAGAAGTACATCACCAAGTCTTTCTCTTCAGGCATCATGTGAAGTGTTTGCGTAGCTAGTCTTTATGATCCAATTCAAACATTTATCCTCTCGCAGCACCCAACCGCTCCATCTTCCCTCCATCTCATTAGATCTGAATCTCCAAGTCTCCCTGAGTTTCATCTGTACCCTGGTCCTGAGGACCACATGGCAGAATTATTTTTCTACACACACACACACACACACACACACACACACACACACACGGCTGATGTTTGTGAAGAATGTTTTCTTGTTATAATACAACTTTTTTAATGTAGGAAATAGCAGAAAAAGGCAAAGCATGGTAATTTATATAAAGAGATTATCTGAGGTAAAATGAGAGATGGAGAAGAACGCCAATGTTACAACAGGAAAGCAGCCCTGAACCTCCATCTGCACCTGCTCCTGGGCCTGAGGTCTGTGCTCTGTGGGTCCTGAGCGCCCCCTGGGGGCATGTTTCCTCCTGCATGAGAGGTTTATGCCCTGGTTCAATCTGATTTCTCCTGGCTGTAATGATAGCAACACAGAAATACAAAGGTGTCTCCTTGAATTTCAGGCTGTTCATACACAGATACAACATGTTCTTAGAGTTGTCTTTGGAGATATCGACCCTTCACAGAGTCATTGTAGAATGTACCACCACCCCCAGTACTAATATTTGAGACTCACTCTAGGTCCTTCCCTGAAACTTGTGGGCCCAGATCATGGCATAGCTACTGAAAGGATATCTGCAGGTTGTAAAGGGGAGTCTCAGAGACCCCTCAGGCTGTCTCAAGTCCTCCCCACCCATACTCCACTAGCTGTACCTCACTCTGGACATCTGCAAGCAGAGATATCCTGGGCAGGAAAACCATCAAACATATTCACCGTGTCTCTCACTCAACGTCCAAGCACACCAACTTGTTCTTGATTAAAAATAGTCACCTGTTAAAATAGCAACAAGGACAACCCCCTTTCAGCACAGACTCCAGGCTGTCTGTGTTGTGCTCGGTCCTCATCACTGAGTGGGACTCCTGAGAATACAGGAGCACTTCCAGAGCTGCAGGGTTGGGGCTGCGTTGGCTTTCGTCAGCAGAGGGAGGGGTGGATCTTCATGCCCTCTTACTACATAGCAATAAATGAGGTCATATGACTTCTGAGATATGCGTGTTCTGTTCCTAGAACAGATCTGAGTGTTTTAGGTGTGTTGTGAAGGGCACAAGGATAATAACCTTAGAAACATGTTTTATGTGACTGTTCTACACTAAATTGTTATCAAACATTAATTCATTTTATTGTTCTATTAACACACAATACACATGATTATAGTGATATATCTCTGTTTTGTAGGAATAATGCTACAAACAGAAATGTACAAACTGAAGTTTCTATGTCTATGAGGGATTCACAGCATGTTCCTTTTCAATATCTTTTGAGATTTTGGAAGGGGCAAGATTGGGGTTGTAGAATGGATTAGCAAACGTTTCCAAATTAAATGATCAGGGCAGCTCTTGCTACCCTTGAAGAATAAGTACAAAGTCATGAAGGGTAAAAAAGTTATACTTGGCACACGTTCTTTGGCCTCTTTCTCACCAGTACAATTTTCCATTTTCTTAAAACT